GGGGGGGGGGGGGGGGGGGGGGGGGGGGGGGGGGGGGGGGATTCAACGGTTCACCCAGTATCTGGCACACGATTTGTTTTGGAGACAGGTCGAATGAAATATGTGGGGGTTTAATGTCAATGAGGAGCCTGGCAACAGCATTGACATGAGGTTGACGGGATATCTTCGCCCCACACGTCACACAGAATATTATACCCAATTGTTTGGCCTGGCCCTGAACCCAGAGAGGGAGAAGAGGGAGAGGCGCGACGGCATACACACGCAAAACACAACCCTCCGTAAAGCCGGGGCAACGCGTGTTCCCCGCCGTCCGCAACACCACGCATGTGTTTCGAGCCGCGCTCTTGCCAAAACTATAGCATCAGAGGGTCAGTTGCAACATGATGACGGTCTCTCCCTCTACTCCAGCATACCGTTTGCGGCACAGGTCGACACAGCCGCACAATACAACCCACAATACGCTCCGTGGCAAAATGTGTACGGGTCATCGCGAGCCAAAAACATAAAACTACTCGGGGCAAGTGTTAGGGCGACATAACGTACTGGCCCAAAATAACACACTCCGTGATATTTGCTTTGAAAGAGCAACAAGCTATCGACGTAACAAAAACATACTGCATACACACAAGAACACATCCGGGTGATGAATTCTTCTACAAGCAACAGGTGATCACCCTCGTGGCGTGCTTCCTCGTGTAGCAAACGGACAACAATTTCGGCGAAATAAACAGTACTTGGGATTTGACAATAGAAAATGAACGGCTTACGGCACACACGTGTCGAATACACTACGCACCTTAACGTCCTCGACCGTGCTACACGCCGTGCACTTTGCCGAGTTGACCACGTCGCCGGTTGTCCCAGTCACGTGATTGACGGCGCCCCCGGCGGTGTCGGCCACTCTGGTGACCGTCTCGCCGGCCATGGTCGTGACGCCGGTGTAAGTTTTCGTCACCGTGGCGAACACCTGAAAAACGTAAATAGGCGTTTCCGTCAGAGGCGATACACACGAACGGCAAGACGACAATGTGCTGGGTGCTCTCGGTGTGAACGCGCGTTGTCGAGGCCATAACCAAGCATGCACTTGTGACAAGTGTAGGGCTTGACCCGAGTAAAGTACATACTTGTGACATACGTCGGAGGGGCTTGGTCCAAGTGCATAAATGTGTGTCATGTGGAGAATCCTTTCACCAGGGAACGTCTGTGGACGACGATTCTCTTTTCACATTGGCGTCGACGAAGAGATGTGTGTGATTGGTGGAAGAGACGTCGGGTTCAAGTCCGCCACCCGCCATATTTATTTCCTAAAAATGCACAAAAATGAGTGGGACCAAAAACATATTTCCCAATTCGTGGAACTGCGAACGGCGTGGCAAACGTAGCGAACGCGTGAAATCGCGCACGGAAGTTTGCGAACATGTTGATCTACTCGCCCTCAGCCGTTCCGGTTCCGCTCACCCCTTCAAGCCTTGTTGCCTGCAACCAAGAAGGCTCAACAAGGCGGGGCGTAACATGGAGATTCCCTTCACAAGGGTGCGATCTCCCCAGCGTGTGACGCGAACGATTGCCTATCATCCACTCTTGGCTCTCTTCTTGCCCATTCTCTGTACCCTATATCCCAGTTTGCAATCTATCCCACTTTCAACTGGGAATTGGGATAGGCTGCAGAGAACGAGCAAGTAGAGTCAGAGAAGATGAGAGGAAATCGTCCTAGACAAGTGTACCGTTACACACACCCTCTTTGTTGAGCCTAATGGTTTTGCCAAGCAAGAAGGGCTTCTAGGGGTGACCGGAACCCGACCGGCTGGCAGCGATTTGATTCACTGCTCCACAATCTTCTCTGCGTGGAATACACGGGTTCGAATCGTCAGCGGTGTCATAAATAGAAGTGCCACGATCTAGAAATCTCTTTTGGTTCCCTGTCATTTTTTTCATTTTTCGGCAGGGGGGGGGATGTGGAGATCCCCTTCCTCCATAGGTATGTGGAACAATCTCCCCAGCGTCTGTCTGTCGGCGCTGATTCCCTCCCACACTTGGGCTACAACAGAAAACCGTCCATGATAGACGTGAGGCTGCCGATGTCTACCTAGGGGACGGAACAACCAACGCTTGGGCGGTCCGGTCGGCGTAAGTGAGGCATCGACGCTGGTGAACAAACACACCACAACATTTTAGAAAGTGTACGTACGTGGAACAGAAAGACTACCCGTTCGGGACAATGCCTGCCATTCTGAGGGATACGTCCAAGTCTAGTGTTGACCTTGTCACTGCCTACCCCGATCCTCACAGGACCCCCACCTTGCTGTGCTGGGTGTCGAAGCTCTGTCAAATTAAGATCAAAGAAAAATCGAGTAGTAACGCTATTGCGAGAATTCGCGAGTCCACATCTGCGGCCGTTGGCAAAAAAAGGATTGTTGATTGGAACAGCGGCGCGAGAAGTCGAGAGTCGCCAACAAAAACCGCTTTTGGCAACAACAAGGGGTTGTTGACTGACCTGATGCCATACGCTCCCGAACGTGTCGTTGGCAGAGCCGTACGCCTTTCCCACGCCGTCGCCCACGTTGCACGCCGCGCCCTGATTCATGTCAGCGGGGAACGCACGAATCGGGTTCCAAGTGGCGGCGATACGCAAGGCTTGCTCGTGTGTGTCACGAACAAGAAAGGGTCACGCATCGGATGAGCAAAAAGTTCGACTCAAATAAATTCGATTTTGTGGTCATTCTTCCGAGCGAGAGAGGCCATGCGCAACACGACGGCAAGGCCTTGTTGAGACTTTCTTCAAAACGCAAACAGGTCGTGCGGATAGGGTGGGGAGTTCGGCTGTATTTCGTTGTTGAACAAGTCAAGATAAACTGGCAAAAAAAAAAAAAATCCAAGAGACACCTGCCAAAATCATGGCCGATCGACAGTAGACTGCTGCGAAGTAAGCTTCTCAAGCTTTGTATACTGCGCATTCCGTTTCACAACCCGCGACCCGGCTGGTTTACTCGACAACAGTAACGGGCAGACGTCTAGATACAGCAGCTCGCGCGCTCTCCCTCTACACACCACGACAGTCTGTACGGGGCCTAGAGTGTTGATGGTCTTCTTGACGGACACGATGCCCTCGATGGTCTCGTCCTTCTTCACGTCCACCACCTCGTCGGCGTAGGAGAGCGCCTCGCAGATCTTCTTGTCCAGCATGGCCACAGACTTCTGCTCCGCCTGCTGTAGACGTGGGGAGTGAATGGATGGACGAGATATAACGGGAAAAGGGGGACACCACAAGAAGAGAAACGTCGATGGGAGGACCGGGCGTAGACGAATATCATGATTCGCGCGACTCTATTTAGATTTCTGATCAGCTCTGACCTATGGCACCGAGCAGGAAGCCAGATCCCGTGGAGACCAGAAGTGAATGCTCGGTGCACGGAGCGAGCACGTTTTTCTTTGCTTCCCACCCATTTTGAGCGTCAGTCTAACACGTTTCGGATGTCTGTTAACCGAGGAGAAATTGTCCACGATTCCTTCCTTGTTGCGTACCTTCAATTCCGGACGAGAGCAGGGTTCGGCACTCTCATCCGTTTCGCATGTCTCCTCAGTAGAACTTACAACTAAGATGGACAGTAGGTGTCAGGAGCATAGCAGCAGCAGCGGCCGCAGAACAGTGCGCCATTCGTGTCCGTAGTTGTGTTCCGTGGGCTCACAAGTGAGGTGGCCGAGTGGGTGCAATACATTTTTTTTAGTCCCGCAAGTTCACGCGTCCTGCCAGAACCCGTGAGTTAACACAAGATGCGCTTCTTCCGCAGACTACCCCAGACAACGCAGGTTGCAGCTGTCACCGCGAGCATGTCCGTGAATAAATTTGGTACATTCCGTCAATTCACAAAAAAGTCCTCCCAACGCATGAACACGTTTTCTCCCATACCTTTTCTGGGCAAAGTTTTTCCGTGGATATATACAACGTGCGGACATTCCGTCAATGGCTACAACCTACCCCCAACGGAAAGAACACGTTTCTTAATCTCGCACCTCTTCTGGGCTGGGCTTGAGGGGAGTCATGTTGATGAGCGACTCTGCCATCGCCTCCACGGTTGGCGCAATGCCGTTCAGCACGGGGAGGCCGGCAAGGAACATGTAGGCGCCCTGAATCGCAGCAGAGGGGGGGGGGGGGGGGGGGGGGGA